CCCCAGTGCAGCAGGGAAGTAACATAAGAACTTAAACCAATGTAGGCTTGAGACAACATGAGCTTGATGCCCAGCAGGTAACTGTATCCTTTATTTGTCAAATAATGTTAAAAAGAGCTACATACATAGAAATGTACTAGAAAATACTAATACATATAGTGCTGCTATTGCAGCTGAATATAATCTGCCTCATACTCAAAACATTGCAAAAATTAATGAGTGCAAAATGCTTTTGGGAAGAGAATGAACCTTCCTGAGCTCTGTCTAGGCCAGTGAAATGCGCTGACACTAAATAATCCAAAGGCTCCCTAAGCACGGTGCCATGAGTATTACCATATGTATTACATTGCATTAACATCATGAGTGATTAAATTAGCTATCACCTAAACAGGACAATGGCTAAATCATCCTTACCAGGCAAAGCAGAAAATTGCACACAGCTTTTGGGTATGGGGCAGTGAATAAGATCATAGCACTTCAGTGTCAACTAGGCAGAGTCAGCACTAAACGAAAATTGTTCAGTTCACAAGATACCCTGGCTCTTTTCCAGGGAATGCTTCCCCTGCAATTAAACATTAAGAGGGCATCAGTACACCCCACACTAACTCAGGGCTGTGGCGTTTACTTATCCATGGCAAATTGCTTTCCTTGCTTTACTTATCCTTGGGCAAATTGCTTTCTCATATATAGAACACATATAGAAAGAGAGAACCCTATTACCACACGTGGACATATGGGCAACATTCCAGTTGAATAATAAACTCCATTCTATTTTTTTCTTTACATTGCAAATCTCCATATTTGAGGGTCTTCCTGCAGCTAACAAAAGAGAGTACAGAGAGAGGTGACAACAAGCTAGTGCTGTCTTGAGCATCATTTATGGGGATTATGGTATGACTTTTTAGGCTAGCACCACAAATCATTATACTGGCTATTCATTAGAGGAAAGGAAACTTCTGTTAGAACCAAGACATAGCACATTAAAATCTCAAGAGCTCCTTCTTGGTCAATGGCGTGTACTAATCATTGCCAGGGGAAAATCATCTTTTCATTTTTTGCTCGAATAATAAAGAACTCCTGAGCCACTCTAAGGGTGTCAAAAGCTCACTATGTGGTCTCTTGTCCTCTTTGGCCACTGTGTTGCTCCCATGTACTTCTGTGATTTTGAAGTTACCCTTACCTTCTCGTACTTGAACTCTTTCCTCTGTCTCTCTTCTGTTAACCAGAAGCTTTGTGCGAGCCATTGCTGCAACTTCAGTGAAAAGTGTTCTTATGAATAACACTGCATTTTTCTGAAGGCCTCCGAAACAAAACAACTGGTTGGTTTAACAGCCGCCCTTTCCAAGACTTTTCTGCATGATTAGAAATATAAGCATATTGCTTAGAATCTGGGAACTCTCTCCCTTCCTTTAGAAAACAGAACAACAACAACAAAAAAAGCTGTTGTTTTGCTGCTTGCAGGAAAGAAATAGCTGCTTGATAAGAAATAAGTACAAATTGTGAAACTACTTCTCCAAGTCTGTCCATGTTTCAGATTCAAGGCCCACAGTCCCAAGCTACATCTCCATTGACAGGTTTCTCCTTTTAATACATTCTAGTGGGAATTTGGCCAATAGGACATGGTTACCACAGCTTGGAAATCACAGTTTTTTATCTTGTACGGGTGAAGAACAAATTCTTAAAGATGGAAAAGTTAAACACCGAGTCACTAATAGAGATGGCGAATTCTCAGAATGACTTTCTATATTATGAGAATTTCTAAATACTGTTTTACAATGTGACTTTTATGAAACTTTTGTTACTGTACCTGCTCTGTTTTTGTTTTTTAGCAAGAGCGATAATTTCCTGGGAACTCCATCTAGCAAATAAATAGTCTTTTTGGGAAAAATAATATATCAAATTGTTCTGTTTCATCAATAAGTTATAAATAAGATTCCCTTGGATGGAAAATAAATTGGAATTTGTTTTATTTTATAAAATACTTATTTTAATCACAAATTTTCTTCCTCCCCCCATGGAGATTTCATCAACTGAAGTCTGGTTTCATGGGTGTGCTACCGATACAGTCAAATAGGACTCCAAACTAAATATGGCTCATATTTGGGGTTTAATGCTCTGAAGTTTCCATTTTGAAATTCTTCATAAGGTTACCTTTACATTTATGCTTTATCAGTAGAGTCCAGTGGAGGAAAGAAACATGTACTGGGGTCTTGGAATCTCAGCAAATAGGTGGTCCAACTCACACCATGTATGTTTTTCTGGAACAGGTTCTCTAAGGTCCATCCTTGCTCTCTGGTGCCCCAGTCTGGCCTTGCCTCCCCCTTCTCATTGCCACCTACTGACTAAGGCTGCCAGATGCCTCTGTGGGGATCTGAGAGTGGGCACAAGGAACACTGAGGTTACACACTCTCCTGGAGTCACCAGGCAGGGCAAGGCAACAGCCATTTCTCCCCTGCAGTGGTAGCACCTGGACATATTTTTCCAGCCACTTGCCCAGGAGAGGAGAGAGCAGAAGAGTGTGGAAAGGGGAGATTAACTTTATGACCTCCTGCAAGGTCTGTGCATTTTCTTTTTATACTGAGTGGGGCAGTAGACAACCCTGTCTCAACTCCTGTAATTCTAAAAACTGTCACTCATGACTTTCTTAATAGTAAATCTAAAGCTTTTATTGATCGGTTATATAAAAATTTGCTGAAAGGAAAAAAATTGCTTCTAAAATAATTTCAACTATGATCTTCACTTTTAAAGCCCCCTGCAGAGGTTGAGGGAGAAAAGGCACAGAGCTGGTTGGTGACTCTTTTAGTCAGATTCTTTGGGTTGCAAGCAAGAGAAAATCACGAACACTCCCTCGAGGAAAAGTGAGTCTGTTATAAGGCATGAACAGTGAATGCCATCAGCAGCAAGCACCTCAGGTGACTGCTTCTCACTCCATTTCTGTCAAGAGCTTACAGTCTCTCCAGGACGTCTCTGCTTCTTTCTACGTATCACCTTCCTCATCGCTTTGATTTGTATATGGCTCACCATGGTCTGTCATAGGTTTCAGCTTCTGCATTGCAACTTTATAAAGTCAGTTCCCGCTGCTAACTACCTCATTACCTGGATATTTCTCACCGGCTCTTCTTTCATGTTAGGACACATCATTACTGTCAGGCCCTGACTACAAATTGTCTATTCCTTGGTCAGATCCTTAACTCAGTTACCTCAGCTAGGGACAGGGTGTTGTGTAGGAAAATGGGTCGCCTTCTTCATGGAGGGTTGTGGACAGGGCAGGCCCTTTAATGGACACCTACTGCAACAGCACATTCTTTCTCTGCTCCTGAATTGATCCTGTCACTTTTATTTCCGATTTCAAGGCCCCATCATGCCAGTGGTTCAGTTAGGCACAAAATTATGTTCATACTCTTTCCTTTCCCTCATGCATCACTTCTATTGGCTGTACCTCCTCAATTTTTCTTTTCGTATTCTGTGATTGGCTTCAGAATAAAATCCAGTGTCTTTAGTATGGCATGAAGACCTTCCTGGCGTGGTTCCTGACTAGTCTCCAGTCTCGTTCTCTGTCACTCGCTGTTTCCTACCCGCCAGCATTGCTATTAAACTACTTGCAGTTCTGTAGAAGAGCTGCCTTCTTTCTCATCTTTATGACTTCCCACATCCTGCTGTTCTTCCATAACACAAGCACAAGGCATTTGCCTTCCTCAGAGCACCGATCACGCACTTATCACAAGGCATTGCTGCTGTTTCTTTAAGTGGTTTCCCAGTAAGTTGTGAGCTTATTGAGGACACACACCATGTTTCAGTTTTCTGTATCTCTTACATCAAACAGAGAGCATAATATATGGTATATGTTAATTAAATACATATTACCATATGTCCCATATCTTAAAAATTTCAGTGACCCTCACATTGCTCTCAGTATAAAGCACACACTCTTAAGCAACTCTCCCATATCATCTTTTCATAACTCTTCCATTTTATATTCCAACAATACGGAAACACTTCTGCTTAGTCATTTTCTCACGCTAATTTGTGTCTCTTTGCTTTTATAACTGATGTTCCTTATGTCCAGAATACCTTTCCCCAAAGTTTCTGCACAAGAAATTCCTACTTATTCCTAAGTGTTTACCTCAAGCATCGGCTATCTTGGGAAATCACCGTGCTCTCTTTTATTTCCCTCTCTTCTCGTAATTTTAGACTCATTCCTCTTTAGCATCTTGTAAAATTTCTTCTCTCTGGTATTGTACTTTTATAAAAGTATACCTGTTGCTTTTATTGTCTTTCTCTTTAGAGAAAGGAGACCAGGGGGAGGAAAAAAAAAAAAAAGCTGGGCGCGGTGACTCATGCCTGTAATCCCAACACTTTGGGAGGCTGAGGCGGGTGGATCACGAGGTCAGGAGTTCGAGACCATCCTGGATTACACGGTGAAACTCGTCTCTACTAAAAATACAAAAAACTAGCCAAGCGTGGTGGCGGGCGCCTGTAGTCCCAGCTACTTGGGAGGCTGAGGCAGGAGAATGGCCTGAACCCAGGAGGCAGAGGTTGCAGTGAGCCGAGATCGCGCCACTGCACTCCAGCCTGGGTGACAGAGCGAGACTCTGTTTCAAAAAAAAAAAAAAAGGAGACAGGTCCTTCTTTCATCATCAATATATAATGAGACACATTTAGAGATAGAACATAATCAACATAGACCTAAGGACTAGGTCTCTTCTGGCTTATCGAAATGATTTTCCCTTTCATAATGCCACTGTCTGTGAAAATAGTTGCCTTCAAGATAAATGATATAGTTATTCCAATAATGCAATGTTATTATTGCACAATGCATTATTAGTTCTGTATAAGATAAGAAACACATTAAGATGCCTTAAGAAAGACAGCAACCATATAGCTTCAGTAAAATTAAAATGTATTGCTGTCCAACATAACATCCTAGAAATGACTGGTCTAGGTTGTAAAATGGTTCTGCTCCATGAAGTAATTCAGATACAACATAAAAATCAACTTACTTCTGTCTTGATTCTTATGTTGCTATTGGCTACATCGTTGCAGCTGGGTTGCCACTACCAACACTTGAAAACCTGTAGGAAAGGGCAAGAGGGATGTAGAAAAAAATATTTCCTTTAATCTTGTGAAGTAGGAATGTTATGCCTGCTCACATTCCATTAGAAAGACATCTAGCTACAAAGAAGACTAGAAAATACAGAAAATGCAGTCTCAAGCTGAGTGGCCATGTACCCAGCTAATAATGTATTATTATGGAAGCAGTAGGAAACCAATTTTAAAGGACAAATAGCAATTTGAGTAAATTTCTGTTTTGAAATTATTTATATAGCCCAAAGCAAGGTATTATGAAAGTCAATTGGATTTCAACAACAAATACAGTGTAGTGTTTATGAGTATAGGTTCTAGAGGCAGATCAAACAGCTCCAGTCATTTCTGGGTGTGTGACTTTGACAAGTCATTTAACTTTTCTGTGTTTCTGTTTACTTTCTATAAAATGGGTATAACAGTAATATTGACTTTCTACACTGGGTGTAAATAAGTTAGTAAAGAAGAAAAGCTTAAGAGGTGTCTGGCTTAGAGTGAGCACAATTTAGGTGATAGCAATTATTGTATCTATTTCTACAGGTGCCAAATAAATATTTTTGAATGAATAAACAACCTAACTGATAACTCCATGTATTAAATGACTCTGGGAATTTATATTTTGGGATGTCTTATGTTCACTTCTGCATTCTCAATTATTACTTCTTTCTACTATCACAGTATCACACTATAGAAGCCTTCCATTTCTAATTAACTGTTTATAGTAACTATGGATTTCTATCAAATAATTAAACTTACTAAGGCTGTGTGATTAGGCTCTGGCAGACAATCTAAGGGACACTTTTATGACACAAAGTTAGCACAGTTTTAGTGCATAGTTTTTAAGAATCTATTTTTGTTAAGAACATTTTTAGTTTATTTTCTCTGCTTATACATAGTGTTGGCAAATATCTTCAGAAAAGTGAGTCATGGTTTGTTATACACATATAGGTAATTATCAAAATCTCAACATAGGCTTGAATTTTGAAGTATAAAGCGTTTCCAAGAAACAAGTATCACCACATATTGAAGAGAGTGGAAATTTATTTTACTTTCTGAAGAAAATCACGCAAAGCAAACAGAAATTTCATTAGAATTTATTGGTAACAATATTTATGAGGAAGTCATCCTTGGGCCTACAGGTTTCCAGAAATTAGGGAATCTCAAAGTCAACATGGGGTATGTACTAAGGGGTATCTCTTTGAAGTCACTTGCACGGATGCTGCCTAAGGAAGAAGAATATTTCTCCCTCTAAGACTTTTAAAATCTCATATTCTGTATTCTGGCCTGCACTAGTCCAATGTTTATTCCTAGTCTGTTTTCTTGCAATTGCAAAGCAAAACTGTTATATTGGCACTGCTAGGGGAAAAAAGGGAGTTTTAGTAGCAGCTTACATTGAAGTGCAAAGGAGTGTGTGTGTGGGGAAGTGTGTGTGTGTAAGGAGTCTCGTGTTATAGTTATCTGCCCACCATCTTCTCAGACACCTCAGCATGCAGAAATCCTGGTAATTGATCTTGAAAAAGTATATCACAGTTGGTTAATGAGAGTATCAGTTGTCTTTTTTTTTTTTTTTTCTGAGACAGAGTCTAGCTCTGTCACCTAGGCTGGAGTATAATGGTGCGATCTCCGCTCACTGCAAACTCCACCTCCCGGGTTCAAGTGATTCTCCTGCATCAGCCTTCCAAGTAGCTGAGATTACAAGTGCCCACCACTATGCCCAGCTGATTTTTGTATTTTTAGTAGAGATGGGGTTTCACCATGTTGGCCAGGCCGTTCTCGAACTCCTGACCTCGTGATCCACCCACCTCGGCCTCCCAAAGTGCTGAGATTACAAGCGTTAGCAACCGCGCCCGGCCCTTAAGAGTATGAGTTGTCTTAATTGCTGCTTTCTCAAAATTCTGAGATAACTGTAAATAAAAAGCAATATCTCTGTTTGGATAAGGTAAAACAAGGTGTTCGAATTTCCTTTAGTGGAAGTCAGTATATCCAAGAGTGAAGATACTAAGCATTTTGGGATAAAATAATGATGAAACTGCCTATCATCTTTATGTCATCCATTTCACTCCATCAGAAAAAAACAACAAAACACCTCCAGTAGTTGCAATGCAGCCACTGCTTTAGATGACAATTGAATTCTGCACTTGATCTTAGCCAAAAGGTATGGATGACAATGGAATTGTAAATATTCATCACACATAGGAAGAGTCTAGAGATTTAAGGATACCAAATTTCTAATTTGATTTCTACGTTTGGCTAAATATCCTTTAGCGAAGAACCAGTGGGAGCTATCTTTTATTATGTAATAAGATCTTTGAATTGGGTGATTAACAAGATAATGATTACAAAAGATATTCAGAAGTCTTAACACTGAAAGTCTTCTTTGTATCTGCTTGAAGAGCACAGATTTTTTGTTCCTCAGTCCACTTCACAGATTTTCTCCCCTGGCCTTTATACAATGGGAAGATATTCCCTTCCTTCTCTGAATATTGCTGTTGTACAGTAGAGACACAATGAATAATCTTAATCATTCATAAGATTAAAACTAAAGCGAGGAGACAAAAATAAGGCGAATATTAATAGTACACAAAACAAAAGGTTAGCGCAGCATTCCTCAGCAATACTTGTCCTGTATGGATAAAATCTGAGGTTTTTTTTACAGCTATTATAAATGACGAAAGAAAGAAGACATGGTCCTTGTCCTCTCCTCTGCTTGCCCCACACCCTGTCACCTGCCATGCACTGTATTTCTTCACTTATGAATGTTAATGAACCACTTAAAACTATAAACAGAGATAGCCGGTGGATTAAGAAAACAAATACAATTTGAGTCACAAGCAATATTTTCCTTTTCATAGGATGTTAACATAAGACAGTTCTTGTTGTATTCAGTTTCTTGTACTTTCTGAAAAAATCTTTCTGACAAAAAGAAATGTAAATGAAATCCATAAAAGACAGGAAAAAAACCTAACTTTTATGTACTATATCCAAATTTCACTTAACAAAGCTCTATATAAAGTAATTGATTACTGTATCACTTAACAAAGCTCTATATAAAGTAATTGATTACTGTATCACTGATTATTATATACACACATATATATAAATCACTTTCTCTTTAACTTCTCTATAACTATCTCTTTGTATTCACAGCCAGTCAATGTGAACTGTGCATATTACAGACACCTTCATCCACTTCGTGTGGCACACACTGGAGTGTGGGTTGCAGTGATTGTTGTTTATTCTGCTATGAGCTTTAATTTGCCATTTATTTTGTGTTCTCACTGTCAGTTTTGGATCCGTGTAAGGCATGCCAGTGATGGTGATGCATCTTCCAAAAGAAATAAAGGGAAAGTACCATGCAAGCTTCAGGCTTGAAGCAACTTCAAGGAGCAGGTCAAATGAATCAGACAATAAAGCAGATTGAGAAGTTAAGGGTGAACGTTATGAAGAACAGCATAAAAATCTCTATGGCGTGGGAGGACTGAGCCTCAATTATAGGAGCTGGCATGGAAGAAACTAAGGCCTGAGGATGGTCAAATCCTCAAAGACTATGAGGACAATAGTCATTACTATTATAAAATACAAGAATGAAAATCCGTAGGAATTTTACTCTATGACCTGTATTGTACTCATTCACTCAATATGTTCCTGCATTGATCTGCTTAGGCTGCCATAACAAAATACCATACACTAGGTAGCTTAAACAATAGATATTTATTTCCTCACAGTCCTGGAGGCTAGAAATCTTAGGTCAGAGTGCAGGCATAGTTTAGTTCTGATGAGAGTCCTTTTCCTGACTTATAGACAGCCACCTTCTAGCTGCGTTCTCACACAATGGAGAGAAAGGGTGAGCTCCCTGGTGTCTCTTCTTATAAGGAGACTATTCCTATCAGGACCCCATTCTTATGGCCTTATTCAACCTGAATTACTTCCTTCCTCCAAACACAGTCACAGTAAAAATTAGAGCATCCATATATGAACCCCAGGGGGACACAGTTCAGTCTATAGCTGTTCTTTTTCTGGAAATTTTTCCATACTCTCCGACAGTGGTCTTGCATCTATGTGCAACTGTACTGGCAGAATCTTTACTTTACAATAACTGGACTAGCATGAATACGGTAAGCAGAACCAAAATCCAAACTGACCTTTCTTAACTAAATGTTTGGTCGAGTCTTTTTTCACATTTCATTTCTCTGAAACTGACTCTTCTCTTTTCTTCCATCTTTTAAGGTCCTTTGTAATATATTAGACCCAGCTGGATAAATGAGGCAAACTCTTATTTTAAAGTCACCTGATTACAGGCCTTGATTTCATCTAAAACCTTAATTCCGCCTTGCCATATAACACAACATCTTCACATGTACCACAGAATATAATGTGAACATCTTTGGTGGACCATTAATTTGCCTCCCACAATAGTCATATGATTATATCAGAACACTTCATTTCTTGTACCTGTAATATAACAAGAACAAGTAAATAAAATCATTAAGTTTGGAACCTGGTTTGACTTACTATTATTCTCCTCGGCATTTTAACTTCTGGCTTCCTAAAAATGGGCCTTTTTCGAATTAAATGATACTCAAACCAGATTCTGATGTAAAGTGCATTTAGTCAATGGCACACAATTCAATTGTCCTCCAATTCTCTTTAGCATTCAGTCAGCTGACATTTGCAAGTTTTGAAACATTTTAATAAAGAGACTAACACAAACTTTGGGATATGGAATATACTGAATTTGAAATTAAGGTTCAGCATATTCCAATTTCAAATTGTGAAATGTTTTGAAGAGGGAGTACGTATTAGCAAAGAAATGGCCATATTTAATGTGGATTTTGAAATATGAACTTTTTTCTATTACTGTAAGTACACAATTGGCTGTTAAAAATAATTAATATTCCAATTATATTTTGTACAGAAAGAACATAAAACTACTGTAATGTTACTTTCATGATCTTAGAAAATGCTTACATTTGTGTTACTTCATATAACA